TTTGTGATATCACAAATCCCGGAAAATATGCGTTGTAGTCCAAACGAGTCGTTCATTGTAGTTTTTGAAAAGTGATTTCTGTTAAATAAAATATCTCCTTTTGAAGTGGACTTTGAGCTTTGTAACTTCGCAGATCTTTTTTATTCTCATACAGCAACATTACAGACTAACAAGTTGAAAAGTTGAGAAAGCATAATAGAACACAAACTTTTGAGCGGTATATAAACAGTTTTTACTTTTTAATTATAAAGTGAAATGAAAAATAGTACTACTGAATCATTTGATCTAAATGTATCACTTCTGACTCTGTTTTTAGGAACACCATGAGGAAGACCTGTTCCTGTACATGACATACAGTAATGAGAGTGTTTACGGTGCCTGAGATGGAGGACGAAAGGACTGGAGAGAAGAGATGGAGAAAGATGACGCATTATTATCCCATGTTCAATACATTGTACCTACAGAGGGCATTGTTCAATAATGGGGACTAAAGGGTGCCGTTTGTATTTATCAGTATTCGGGGGAAACTACAATGTGATGCATTAAACAGATTATTAAAGCACTGGGACACTAATGAGAAAATAGAAGGTCAAAAACAAAAATAGAGATACATTTCAAAAAAAGTAGTAAAGTAAGCAAGTTTTCGTTTCATCTTTCTCTCCCAGGAGCGCATCATTTGTATTTAATGCAAATAGGTTTTTGTTCTTGTTTTTCTTTCTTTTTTTGTAAAGTATTTTCAATAACTTTGTGCATATAATAAACATCTTTAAAATGTTTAAGCTTGTGTATAAGTTTGTACATAATGTTTACAGCATTTGTTTTAGTACAAATGAGGTTCAGTTCATATTCATATTATTACCATTATTTATACTATTCAGCATTTTTTATAATAATATTTAAACATTTATCCCTTAACCACAGAGACACTAGTGACTCATATAAACAGTGTTTAATATATTTGAATTTCTTTTCCTTTAGGATAAGACACGATTAGTGGTTTAATTCGTTCTGACGGTATGAACAAGAGAGAAGTGAAGGATATATCGTGGCGACGAGCCGGACTGTAATGAGGAAGTTGCGGGAAAACAACTGATCATGTGTGATGCTCAGAATTATCCTGATGTGAACAAGCATCAGGTCAGTGTATTTACAAGTGGCAAGCTTTTCGGTTACCGTGTCATTTTTTTCTCTAAACAGTTGTTTAGACAATAGTACATTAAATCAGTTTTGCTAAAGAGTTTGCACCTGCTGGGACCTCTGACAAGTTAGCCCGAAAAAACGAAACTCAAGGGAATTATACAGACAGAAAAAAAAACAATGGAGAGCAAGAAAGAGGTAGAAGTGGAGTTGGAGGAGATTACAACGGTTGAGGAGGATAAGGAGGAAGAAGATCAGAAGAAGGAGACAAAAGGTAAAATGTTTAATAAAATCATTCATTTATAAGCTTAAACGAGCTATTATTTCTTTTAAAACAGGACTCCTCCCTTCACTTTGGGAGAGGTTGCAGTATGTGAGCAGAAAATTTCAGTATTCAGTCATTATATACATGTCAATACGCTTTTCTTTTCATATTTAATTCTTCTTTTCAACTGCACTTTCTTTGAATGACTTTGCAGCAGAGAAGGTAGAAGAAGGGAATATTTACTCCACTCTCACCAGTCCATCTGAACATGAATATGGTGTGCCCTCTTCAACTCGCTCTTATACAGTCAATAAAGATAACACAAACTCATTTTCTTATAGTAATGCACATTTCAGGCCAATAAATAGCTAATAAAGTGAATAGAAATACTCATTTAATGATACAAATGCCAGGAGTTTGTTTTGTGCACAAGCTTAAATTATGAAAAAGACTTAGGAATATTCAAATACTTTATCGAAATAATGCTACATTTCTAAAAATGAAGGTTTCAAAATGGTGTTTTCGCAGTGATGCCATACACTGTAAAAAATGACCGTTAATTTAACGGTAAAAGACTGTAAAAATGCTACAGTAAAATCCTGTTAAATGGTTAACGGTAAATTCCCCTACTATATACGGTGAAAAACTGTATTGGACATTACATGTATTGGACATTAATTTTACGGTAGTATACCGTATTTGGAAGTGAAAAAGACCGTATAATTTACAGGGAATAACCGTAAATTGCGGATTTTTTTTACAGTGTAGGAGAACTATTTTGGGTTGCCTAAAGCACCTATTAATAAACAGATCTTAAAAGAACCACTTTTTTCTTAGTGTAAAGAATATTTTAATAATCTAAAGACACTTTTTCCACTATAAAGAACCTTTTGTGCATTGGAAAGGATTTGACTACTACTACTACTATACATTTGAAAGGTTCTTCATGGAACCATCGATGCCAAATGAAGAACCTTTATTTTTAAGAGTGTATATATAATTTTTAAATATATATTTTTTTACATGCATGCATGTGCATATTCATTGTGTGATGTAAAAATGTGTGATATAGGATCCAGCTGTATGGTCTAAAACAGGACAAGTGAAAATGGACAGAAAGAGGAACAAAAACAGATGGGAGAGAAAAAAAACTGATGCAGTGGTCAGTGAGTTAAAGCAAAATATCAAACAAAATTAACATTTCTGATCACAAGATAAAAAGGATAAGAGATGTATGTAAATGGTCTATACTGTAAAAATTCTGGTTAAATAAAAAAAAATATATATATATATATATATATAGCTGTGCTTACGAGAACCAAATTATGATTTTATGATAATGCTACATGCACACAAGTGGCATTTAGGTGACATTATAATAGAATGTAAAAATGTAAACTAACAATATATTAGCACATAAAAATGTCAAATGAAACACAAATACATGTTATAAATCATGTTAGTTAGTTAGAATCATGCAGGGACTTCCAGGAATCCTTTTTTCCCCCAGTGGAATCAAGAATCTTTGCATTTGCTCGCAAAAGAAACGTTGCATTCCCTCTTTCCTTCACAAAACTTTTGTGCTAAGTTCCTCTTAAAATTTTTGCGTTTGCTCGAAAAACTTTTGAAGGAACTCAACGCTTTTGAGAGCGAGAGCGAGGGCAAAGGGCAATGCAATACCTTTGCAAGCGAATGCAATCTATTTAGGGAGAATGCAAAAGCATTATACATTTGAAATAATTATAGGCTGTCATTTTTCCTCCCATCTCATTTTTTTCCATCACCATGTGTCACCATTGCCATGTTAATTGCCAATGCCAGTCAACTGTGTCAATTAGGTTTTTACAGCGGGCATATTCTTTACTTTTAAAGTGACTAACATTGTGAGGTGTTATGATTGTGCTTAGTTATAGTTAATATTAAACAGGTTACTCTTTTATAACAGCATTTCTATCCATTAAATTGTAACCCAAGTAGGTTCTCGATCGTTTGAAACATGTTACCAAGGCCCGCATAAATTATAGATTGCTCTGTCATTTGAACAGAGTCTTTTGTATGACCTTAGCTCACATAGTAAAAAGCATATCTGGGACACAGCTGCATATTTTGTTCTCTCGAGGACAGCGGGTATCTTATTTTGTCCAGAGAGTACTTGAAGGTTTCAGAAGGGCACGCGAGGACACAGAGCCGGTATTGTGTTACGGAGCGTCGTCGTCAAAGCCCCTGCGCGCGGTCGAAGCTCCCTGAAGTGTGTTAGTGCGCACATAAAAACGCCTGCAGATTATTCCCTGGCCTTCGTCGAACTGAGCCGGTTTTGCATTCGCAGAAACATGTACGTAAAACTCTGCAATTTCGGCAAGTACACAGAAGGCAAGTCTGAACCGAAACCGCTGCAGCCGGATTCAGGTGATGAATGTTGCGACTGCACATCTCTTGACTTCCGTTATTTGACGGTCCATGTAACGACAAATGTATCATATTTTTCTCCAGATACATCGCTAGATATTCGCCGGAAACTCCGTGTTTACCGGATCGTTACGCTGGTTCTTTTTGTCATCTGCCTCCTGTTGCTGATCGTGGTCCTTGTACTGTTTCTGAAGTGTAAGTACGACCGTCTTTTACATGTACAGCTTGGAACCTATAAAATGTATTCATTTAGCCCTTTTATTGTCTTTTTTGGGGTCAAAATACGCTATAAATACCACATCGTTTTTGATATTGGAAACAGGCTTTGTCAACAATATCTAAACAAGCGAAATATAAGCTAACGTTTTTAATAATAATAATAAATGAAGAAAAAAAAAAAAAAACTATTAAAGGCAAGGTCTGTATGGTCTTTCCCGGGTTTGACTACCGAGGAACCACTTGTGGCCTTTGGCCTTTCAGTATGTTATGCAACAGTATTTTTTATGTATTTATTTGTAAATTAGGATTACATTTGAATGAAAAATATTTTACATTTAAAATAACATGGGGTTTAACCCTTCACACATACTGTTTTCCACGATAGGGTACAATAAATGGATGTAATTTTCTTCATACACATACTGCTGCAAGTTCATAAACTTGTTCATAGACTAATAGCAGAATAATAGAGAAGCTGCTATATAATACATTATGAACGGCCAAAAGTAAATGAAATGAGCCAGGAAAAGAGTCACATTTTTTGCCAGACTTGTAATTTTTTTTAACACTTCTCTCTCTTGTTTTATTTATTTAATTGTTATTCTATAATTATCGAATTAAAAACACCTAATAATAATATACTTTGAGACCAGATAAAAACAGATAAAAATAGTCTTTAGACCAACAGTACTTGAGCATAATCAAGAATCAATAAATTTTTAATGGTTTTCAAGGAAGGGTCACAAGTGGGTGCAGTTTTCTGAACAATAGGAGGGTTCAAATTAGTACAAAAAACAATATAGCGTTTACCTTCAGGAAAATGTGATCAAAAAAGAAAATTACACAAAATGAGAGTAAGATTCTTGTAAGAACTTGTTTCCAGATCTCCATGTTACTTTATTTTGGATCCACAGTACTAAAATAACTGCAGTAACTGGTATTTTGGTGGAAATGGTGATTGCCATGGTAACTGGTTAATAGAGGATACATTGTTACATTATATTCTGAACAGTGACTGGGACGCCGCCATGTCAGGAGGTAGAGCAGACTACCAGGTCTCTATCGGAACAGAAATGCAGCTTGGAGAGATGCCAAGAGCTTTACCAACTGCCTCGTGAGTTTGTGAACAGACATTCAGTTATCTAAACTAGGTTTTATGTACGTTTGACTTTTTTTCTATATAAAAGGTATTTTTACTTCACTTCAGTGTTTTCTTGCTTCCCCACCTAAATGTGTGTGCAGAGCGTCTGTGCAGTGATTGTGGCAAGGGCTGGCTGAGGTTCGAGAATACTTGTTACTTCCTGTCTCAAAACCGCCTCACCTGGCAGCAGAGCAGGGAGGAATGCCAGAGGAAGGGAGGAGATCTTGCTGTCATTACTAATGAACGTGTGCAGGTCAGTAAATCAGTAAATACGGTGAAATGAAAACTAATAGAAGTGATTCGCATATTAATGTATTCATATGCTTTTTAACGATATCTCATCTCTGCAGATGTATCTGAGTATGAAAGGGAATTTGCACTATTGGATTGGTCTAAGTCATTTGGGGACAAATGAATGGACATGGATTAACAACGCTGTATTGACAGTGAGGTGGGAAAATAATTATGGTTCAAAAGGGGCGAGTTGAAAAAAGTTGGGTCTGTTTACTACATTATTTTTAAGCTGTTTGTAACCATTAAAATCAGCAAATAATTTCCAAAGATTTTCCAAATTTTTTACACTTTTCCCGTTTATTTGTTAATTCACATATTCAGTGAATTGTTTAAAAAAAGAAAACATTTTTAAATTATTGATTTGTTTTTAGACAAAAAACAAAACAAAAAAAAAGTTCTCCCTCTGATTCTGGACAAAACAACAAAATAAATTAATCATTTTGAAAAAGAAAACTGTGTAACCTTAAAAATTAGCAAATAATTTCCAAAGATTTTTCACATTTTGTTTTACACTTTTCCCCTTTATTTGTTTTTCAAATATTCTGTGAATTGTAAAAAAAAAAAAATTATAATAATATAAATATTTGTAAGTTATTGATTGTTTTTAGACCATTTTTTTCTCCCTCTGATTCTGGACAAAACAACAGAAAAATAAATCAATAATTAAAAAAAAAAGAAAAATGAATATTTAAAATAAAGAGGGGAAAATGTGAGAAACCATTGGGAATTTTTTTTTTAGTTTTTGTTGTTACAGCAGAAAAATATACATAAAATAGGAAATAAACTCAGGGAGGCACTTGCAAAAAAATCCACCTTGCCATTCAAGCCTCTATAAATAATGTATCACATGGTTACAAATACAAATAAGTATTGTAAAATGAAAATATGTTTAAATGTGGTTTAGTAGCTGACCATGGTCCTTATGCACACACACAGATATTGGGGAGATGTTTCCTTTCCTGGACAGTGTGCCATCCTGGCTGGAAATGAACCACCTGAACGGAGCTGGCGCCCATATTCCTGCAGTTTATACTTACAGTACATCTGTCAAAAGATGTAGATGTCCGAACATCATCTACACCCATTGAGATCACTTACAATATATATCTGGATATCATAACAAATCCTCAAGATAAATAAGATAGAAATAGGGACATTTGGTCCATCAACACAGTGCAAAGTTTTTTTGTAAATTTTTTTGCATTATGTAGCATTATAGGTGGAGAAAAAAAGCAGTTTTAGAAAATATCCCGTTTATTTGTATTACAATTGCACTAATTTCTAACCTTACTGATCATGTATACAAAGCTTGTTTATTTGCACTGAATATGTCTAACGGTCACACGATAATGTTCTGAATTGCTCATACTTTCTCTCAAATGTCTTTCTGTATTGCTTAATTAAACTTCCACCTTTATATTTAACAATATAGATGGTGCACAGTTCAACTTTGTCTACCCAATACAACACCTATATATATTTCCATTTTATAAAACACTAAATAACGCAGAATAATGTAACAGGAACCCTTTAAATATTAGGAATGTCATATCACCCAAACATTACTACTTGATCTTGAGCAATTTTTAGATATACTTGATATCTGGGCTATCCACATTTTCTTCCTTTTCACATTCTATACTCTGCCGAATGAGCTGCCAGCATTTTATTGGTCTCCTCTGGATTCTAGGCCTGTTTTTCACAATTAAATTAGTTTGCAGTGGATCATTTCCTGGCTCACTCTTGCCTGTTTCCTCCTTCTCCTTAGCTGGTTCTCCATCCTTTGAGAACGCGTTAATGTAGCGTCTCATCTTTTGCACCAATGGGTCGTTGCGATCCTCCACTCTGGAATCATGAGATGTTGTGAATAAATAAGACTAATCAAAATAACTGTTTAGTGATGCTTTTGAATTGGAATTGTGATTCAAGGCATCCTTACCGGAGGTACCAGCGTTCTCCAAGGCCAAACGCCAGACCACAGACGCCCAGTCTTGGCCACAGGCGCAGTGGTAACCTCCGTTCCAGCATCAGAGTAGTGGCCACCACCTACGAACGGAGAAACTGATGTTTACCCAGCATGCTTCCAGAACAATTACTGTGGGACTGTACTAGCTACACTACCAACCTGGGTCCTCCAGAGTTCGTCACGTTCCTGGGTGACCCTCCACTGCGTGTCGCTCATCATGGCGATCAGGAGGTTGAACAGGAGGATGTAAGACATCACACTAAAGAAGATGTGGACACAGTGCACCACTGGATGGGTGTAGAGCATATGGTCCACTGGCAAGTCAATCAGACCGATGCTCAGCTCAAACTGAGTGAAGATGGTGATGGGGAACGAACGGTATGGCGGTAAAGCTGAAGGTTCTTGAGTCACGTAATAGACCCACAAACCTGAGGAAGTAGACAAGGAAGTTCACTTTTAACGTTACAAATTCACATACGATGTGAGTATCTTTTGATGCAACTAACCGGCAGCGGATCCAATGAGGAAGATAAGGGACAACCACATGAACTTTGTCATATCGCCAAATATCGTCTGCAAAAGAACATCCATACATGTCCATTATAAATCTATACTGGGTCTACAAACCAGCAAGAGTGAGCGAAACACTCCACCTTCTGAATCACGATGACGTAGGGTCCCAGCATCTCAAAACCTCGGGCGAAGTACATAACATTGGACCAGCCAAGAACCAAAGCCCAAGCCATCGGCACGAGGTCTTCTGCCATTCCAGTGGTCCGCAGCACACACAAAATCACAACCAGACTCGCGTAGCTAATTCTGCCACACAAATACAAGGAAATCAAGTGTGAGGGAATGCATGCAGTCAAACCTTTTTCATTCAAATGATAGTTTGTGCAGGGGGTTTCAAATGTTTTGATGCCAAAGACCTGCCAATTTTTTATATGCATACAAATTTATCTAAACTATTTATGCTGTCTAACTGTTAAAAATATATATGACAATGATTTCATTTTTATTCATTTGACAGACTATGAGACCATATATCAGCAACAATGAATTTAATTGATCAAATGTGACAATTAAAACTGTTCTTTTAAATTTCTATTCATCAATGAAACCTGAAAAAAAAGTATCAGCAACTGTTTTCAACACTGATAGTCATAACAAAGATTTCTTGAGCACCAAATCAGCATATTAGAATGATTTCTGAAGAATCATGGGACACTGAAGATTGGAGTAATGACTGCTGAAAATTCAGCTTTGCCAGGAATAAATTACACTTTTAAAATATGTCCAAATATGAACTTACAAAGTGACATGGAAGGGTCCTCCAAGCGCAGACTGTCCAAAATAGCGTTTAGCTCCCACTTTCAAAATACTGGGAATCTGAAAATAATTCAATATAAGGAGTGTCATTGGCATAATACCAATAATATTTTACATGTTATTACATAATGTTTCTAATGTCCGACAAAATATTGCTGACCTCTATCAGCAGAATAACGATGGCTCCTATGACACTGATAATTTCTCCAATTAAACGCAGGTGATCTTTATAGGTCTGATAGCTCTCCTAAACATGCAAAAAGACAAGTTCTTGCAGACACATATAAAAGTGCTTTGATACACAGAAACATAAAAATAATAATGTTTCACACCGTAAAGCTTTTCTGCACTTTTATGGTTTGGTCGTTGTCTGCTTTGGTGTAATTCTCAGGAATGTCCTTCAGGGGGCGGTTTATACAACACAAAGTGAATATGCTGATATACAGCAGGTACAGCAGACTCAATAACCTGCAAACAGATCAATAGAGCAACATCATCAGTGCGGCTGAAATCATAAACATCGTTTCATAGCACATCGCTGCTTTCAAAGTGAAATATTTTTCTGATAACGTCAGAAAAAAAATGCTGAATATGTGGAAAAGCTTGAAGCTTTTGAAGAGTCAGCTGAAGAAAAACAGGTACAAACATAATAAATATACACAGTACACACACATATATTATGTAAACAAAAACTTTTATTTTGGATGCGATTAATCGCGATTAATCGTTTGACAGCACAAATTTTTGGCTATTGCTACAAATTTATCCGTGCTACTTAAGACTGGTTTTGTGGTCCAGGGTCACATATAATATGATATGATGATATGATATGATATAATATAATTGTTTTACCATAAAATTTTATTAATTGACCTAAAAACAGACAAACCAGTTGCCTTCAAATTTTTTTGTGCTTTTTAAAATTAACACTAAAAATCTGAAGTTTGTGGATTGCGATTTCAATGAAATGTAAGAAATGCAGCTGCAAATATTTTTAGTTTATTAATTAGATGAAAATAATAACTAAACTAAATGCTGTTTCTTATAGCATGTGATAGTAAGGCACCTGAAGTAATGTTTCCCATACAGATTCCACTTCAGTCTGACGAGCTGTCGAACTGGAGTCAACTCAAGGATCTGTCTGGCCTGAGACAAGAGAGGACACTTTGTTAAGAGATGAACTAAGAAAAGCCCAGCTACAGCAATTTGATTTAATCTGTTGCTATTGATTATTTTCATAATCTCTATTAATGTTTACAAGTGCAGCATGCCGTAATGTGTCCAGCACACATTTACACACCTCTCTCTTCTGACTGCTGACAATGATCTCAAGCACTGAGAGGTCATCCTCCCTTGAGTCAATCTCAGTGAGGTCGTAAAGGTTGGAGGACAATGGTCCCAGATTCCACTGAATAATCCGCCTGCGGTTAACCAAGTGCTGGAAGGCCTGAGCAGCATCACAAAAACATTAAATGCTGCAAAATGTTACTACGCAATTCTGTTCTAGATAAAGACGCATGTTTTTGGAAGAGGTGCATGTAAAGATCTCTCTCTTACCACGAGGTTGCCCTCCTTCGCAGCGAGTTTGAGCGGTGTGAGGCCTCTGTAGTTGGGTACCATGTCTAGAGGGATAGCGGGGTCCAGATTGGCATCTTGTGTCATCAGCAGATCAAAAACCTGACATGCAGTTGTTTTATTGGGCTGCAGAACCAACAGATGAAGAATGCTATTACCTGTTGATGAGCGAGAGAAAGAGTTACAACCAAAGATGCAGATAGAAATATCACACTGTGAGTAAAAGGTTACTTCCTCTTACCCAGGGAATCCTGGGCCCGGACATTAGCCCCAGCTTTTATCAGCATGGCTATAATTTCTTCATTACCCACACAGCTCGCAAATGCCAGGATGTGCTCACCTACAGTCACACAACTGATTTATTTATGTCATAGTCATGGGAAACTACATCTCTCCTGATGCTCATCCACATCCATAACTATTAAAATAATCCGATTTAATAAAAGTCATTAATAGAATAAAAACATCCATCTCACCAAAGTACAGAAGTCCTCCTCTTCTTTTGCGGAAGTACATGCCCGTGACCCTGGGTGTCGCCACATCACCTCCTCTTGCTATCAACTCCCTGACTAAGTTCACATTCTGGTTAACAGCAGCAATGTGAAGGGCAGTTAAACCTGTCAATCACGTCATACATTCATCAGACCTACAAAGAGTTATTAAATTGCATGAAATGTTTGAGGAGGTTTTTGCTTTTTAAATAAAGACCTTGGTAGAGTTCAGAGGTCATGGGCTCGTTGATGAGCTCCGGCGCTCCTTCCATCAACGCCACAGCCGCATCAAAATGATCACTCATCGCAGCAACATGCAGAGCCGTCTCTCCAAGTTCACCTAGAATCCACACCAATGCCAGATGCACATTCAGTTCTGGATTTGTCATTTAGTGTGCCAGTAAATAATGGCAAAAAAGTGGTTTACCTCTCTCAAAGATATTTGTAGATGAACAGTCAAGCAGTTTCTTTATACAGGCTGCATTATTCTCCTTAGTGGCGGAAAACAGGGGGATGTCATTTACTCTGCAGAACATAAAGAGACATGACTACAACCGTAAATGGGAGCTGAAATCAGTACAGGTTATGCTTGCAAGGCAGCAGCACTGTGTTGATATTCTTGTAACATCATTTTCCTTTCTTATTGTACTTAATCTCTGCACAGATTTCTGTAATTATTTCAGTTAAAATGTTTTGTAGGCAATTTAATTTTCTGTTTGGTTTATATACATTTTATCATTTTTAAGCTATTTAAGACTGAACTGAAATCTCCCTTTGACTTACATTGTTAAATTATTACACTGCAATGTAGGCACAGAGGCAGCTGTATACTATTTTAAAGCACAGTCATGACAAAATGTGTTCATTTACACAGAACCAAAGTCTAAAACCTAACTTTACAAACACAATGTTCTTTTCCTAGCATTTCCTTGTTGAAATAAAAAAATGTAGATTCTGTTTCTTAGAATGTAGTTTCTAGTTCTTTACTTTTTGTTCTGCGTGAGGAAGGTCTCATCCAACATTTCGTTCCATCCTTTTCTATGCTGAAGGCGGAACTTCAGTTGGCTC